AACATATTTCCTAATATATATTTTCAAAAAATTATGTATGTGAAATAAAATAAAATAAATAGTTTTGTTATTTATAAAATAACTATGTAAATTCTCTTCAATTTTTAATAGTTACTATAATTTCATTTTTATCAGACTCCGGCGGATGGATTTCCACAGTCGATGACGCCGTAAAGAAAAATACCACATTATTCATGAACAAAATCCAAACTTACAAAAAAACATATCCAAACCTATCTATTGAAACACAAACAACAAATATTAGCTTAAATTAAAGTTATTTTCAAATTGATAAATCGTTTAGTACAAATATAAATATTATAAATAAATATTTATATCAAGTTTTGACATCCGATATAAAAACTATTTCCAACATAAAAAAAACAATATAGACATCTATTTTTATACACTAAAAACTATATTATAATTTAGTTATTTTTATAAATCTTATTTCGCATATAAATAACATTTAACACATTATATATACAATATTTTCACTTTGCACTCTTGCTACATTCTTTCCATTTCATCATTATTTGGTATTATTAGAATAACCCAATAAACCAACAACCGAAAAAAACACAGATCCTGACCCCGCGCTTGCGTGGGGGATATGCAGCTAGTTTGATTAAATGATTTAGTGTATATAAATTTGGACCAAATTTAGCCAAAAAAAACTTTATAAACTATTACTAAAATGTTTATGGGTTACAACATTTTACGACGCTCCTGTTACACAATACAGTGATAAAATACAATGTTTAAACAGTATACTATTACTTAGTAAAATTGAAACCATTAAATTGTAATTTTGAAATGTTATATATACCATAAAAACAAAGATTCGTCCAATCGGGCGGGTTATGATCTAGTATAACATTATTTTCTAGATTCTGGATAAAATATAATAGAAAACTTATGGATTCAGGCGAATATATAATAGAAAATTTACGGGTCTCCAAAACCACTATTTACTGAGAGCATGATGTGACACAAATTTGTCCCATGACATAGCTCTCGATTTGCCTAAATTATATATGCTACATGTGATAAGTTACAATAATGCGTTTTTAAGTTGTCTGCAGCAGTTTGACTTTCCATGACTGTTATTCGTACACTTCATGCTATTCATTAGATATATTTTTTTTTTCTTAAAACATTTTGATCATTTTTGACAAAGGAATTCATTTTGATCGTACAAATTGTAATTACAATATGACAAGAGGAAAAATCTGTAATTTCTACCACGACGGCACTAAACATGTGATATCATATTAATTTCTTCATAATATTTTCAGTACGACAGTTGTATCTACTCCATTACCTTAGAAGCACATGTAGCTAGCTTAGGTTCTACCCAACGAGCTCCTTCTCTTCCCATGTTAGAACTAAACTTTTCAAATGACCTTAAAGTGTTGTTATTGTATTGAGTATATATATATATGTATGCCTCTTCTTCGATAGATTAAAGATATCAGTAGAGTTGGTCTTTACCAATAAACTCTGTCGAAACCAGATTAAACAACAAGAAATGAAATAAAATCTACACTCACAGATATAATAATCATTTTTTAAAACTATCAAGGAATACTGGACCCAATAACAATGAAAAAAACAAAATTAGCAATCTAACCAAAATTCCTTTCGTGGAAGCCCCTTTGGTCCAGTAGTATGATTAAGGGTTTATTAATGCTTCTACATCAGGAAGTCTGGGTTTCGAATTCCAAAAAAGTGAAATTATGCGAATTAAAAGAGAAAAAAGCTTACAAGAGATCTGCAGCATGTCGTAAGGACCGTCTAGGGTAGAACCGAAAGGGCGGCTCAAGTGATGTAGTCATGCGTGAATCCTCATAAGACAGGTAGAATGGTCGGCTGTAGAATCGTCTGTAATATTTCTCATATAGTTTGTAATAGTATAATTATCCAGCGTTTAAAAAAAAACCAAAATTCCTTTCTCTCTCTTATTTTTTCTTCCTATCTCTCTCTCTAAAAAACTAAAAAAAATTTATGGCTATTTGGTAAATAAGCTCAACTATTAAAGTCCAAATGCTTTCCTTTAATAAAAGAAGCGAATCGAGTTGTAGAGATAAAAGAGTTCCAAAATTTAGCAAAAAAAAGAGTAAAAAAAGTTCTTTTTTGTGTGTTAAAAACTTAAAATAGAGTAAAAGAGTTTACAGCACCAACAATAATAATATAAGTTTTTTAAGTTAAGATAAACATATCAAAGGTAAAAATGTAGTATTATTTTTAGCACAATTTAATATATTAAAAGAGAAGTTATGACCCTTTTAATGTGTGATATTTTAAAATGGACCATCTATTAAAATTTATCTCATTACATTATTCAATCATTAATTAATAACATTACTAGAGACTTTTCCCGGGCTACGCCCGGGTTATTTTCTTTGAAGTTTAATCTAATTAAAAATATTATTTACACTGTAATATGTTTTATGTATTGGAATGTTTCAAAAATATAAAATATCTAAATGAACTTATTCATAGCAGAATGTGAAATATAAATGATGGTTTACGTTTTTTTAAATTTTTCTGCTGTAGTTGTTCTGGGATGAGGACAAACAACCGAGAGTGATAGTGGATATATGTTATTCTTTTAGTTCTCTTGCATTTGGTTTTGCAAGATCTTAAGTCCTTCTTGACTCTTGACCCTTGACCCTATGCTTTTAATTGATCTCTTATTTGTCCTTTAAAGTGTTGGATGTATTTGATTGATTTGTTGAAATTGAATTATGTTGCCGGTGGTCTACTGAGTTGTAGTTAACTAAATGTATAGGAATTTTAAATCGTAGTTAATATTTTGATCTACAATATAGTTGTAGTTTACATTTTAACTTCTGTTTACCAATGTTTATAATTAAATTATTTATATATATGGAACCTTTAGAGATCTTAATATTTATCTATGACTTAGTGAACTTGATCGTAAACTTGAAATAATATTTTCTTCAGGTTTTTAGATTTCTTTTTATATATATATAATACTGTATTTAACGATTAAAGGTTTTAAATCAAGCAACTATCATACTTTCATTAAAAACACGTAGTGTGTTTATAATTTCCGGAGTGTTGTGGTAATCAAGGTAGAGCATTTTTCCTTTTTGCTAATTGTTTTTGTCAAAGATTTACCTTTTTAGAACTTTAACACTCCTTATATTTTATCGCTAGTTGAATGCTGGTTACTTTTTGTTACAGCTGGTTAAGGCTGGGTTGTGGGTCAAACTCCCCCACCCGTTGACCTGCCAACCCACGAGTTTTAATATATTTTTTTTGTTAAAAAATCTAATCGCACAACTCACGAATGTATAAATTTACACCCGCATTCGACCCGTTTAAGTTTACGGGTAACCCGCAGGACCCGTGGATTATATTTTTTAAAAAATAATGATTTAATTTAATTTTTATTTAAAAATAATTAAAAATAATATATTTATAATAAAAATTAGATATTTAAAAAAAAATAATTATTATTTTTTAAAAATTACTTTATTTTTTAAAAAATTACTTTATTTTTTTCCAAAATACCCTTTTCTAACAAAAAAACACAATTTAAAACAAAAATTACGCGTTGATGGATATCCACGATTCAAAATCTACCAACCCGCACCCGCCCCGCATAAAATACTCATAACCAGCACTCGCATCCACTAATTGTTTTTTTTCAAATTGTTCGATCTGCACCCGTCTAGCAACGGGGCAAACAGGGCGGGACCCACAGATAATAACTCAAATTCCCAGCTCTATGGCTGGTACAACATCTATATTTTGAAAGTGCTCGGTTAACATGTGTCCTTATTTAGCTAATGAAGTTTATTTTTTCGGAATAACTATGTTTATTTTTCCTAATCAAATTAACATCTATTATGTGTAAATAATAATTGCCATTTCTCGTCAGCCCATTATTCTTATTCGTTATTATTATTATCTAAGATAAACCATGTTCTATCTGCATTTAGTAACAAATAAATGGAAATTGGGTCCGCCCGGATTTATACAAATATCTTTTATTTAATACATTAATTTTATACATATATCTAAATGGGAATATAAATAGTAGTTGGTTTTAAATATGAGTAAAATGCATGATTTTTGTTTTTACTATCTGAATATGTATGGGATGGTGAGAAAATGTGAAATTGATAAGTAATTTGTTAAAAATTTACTTTAAATCACTAAATTTGCATTTTTACTTAACTCCTATATTCCCTAAATATTCCATTTTTTCTGTGTGGAAAGATTTTTTGTTTAAAAAATTGTTTAAAATATCAGTATTAAAACTAAATTGTAGAGAATTTATATTTAACTAAATATATAACCTAAATAACTATATATTTCAAGAAGATTCTAGTTTTTATTATGCTGGTAAGTATCAAGGAATAATATATATTAAACCAAAATGCATGACTCTTATTTAGTTCTTAACATCTACAAATGATAAGAGTAAAATATGAATAGTTATAAATTTTAATTATACATGAATAAATGTATTAGGTTCCTTCTGTTTTTATTCCTTGATGTTTTGTATTTATGCACACAAATCAAAAAATATTTAGTTTGTTTCTCTATATTTTAAAGTAAGAACACCTTCATTATCTATCTAATCGTAACTCAACCATCAGAATATATATTAGGAATAGTAAAAACCATCATAAAAATAATAAATTTCATATTTAAAATTTAAAACTGTATATAGTTTGGAAAAAAATCTCAAAAACCTCAGCTATTAGAAAATGGAGGGAGTAATTTTTATTGTATATATGAATAATTTCAGTTTAAATATTATATGAGGCTCAACAAAATACATACACTTAATGCTTCAAAATTGGTTATGAATATGTATATTTCTAAGTGGATTTACGAAGTTTCTTAACATTGAACTTAGTGAAAAAAATCAACATTTGCAATCATATTCAGTCGTATAATGTAAATCGTAATGTATACAATTATCTTGTAAGAACCCATTAAAAATTTATTTTATATATGCATAACGTAATGCGACTTCAACCAAGCTTTGAGTAACTAATTTTAATTTGAAGTTATCATTCCATCTCTCTATTTGTAATTTACTAAACACACCATTTTGGCAATGAAAACAATACACACCAAACCGAATCATCAGAAACACACAGACCCATAGAAATTTTTTCAATCTTTCCATTACAAATATTCTTTTAGTTTCCTTTTTACATTGTAGTCCACTTCCAACTCTTTTTCTTAATTCTTCTGTGGTGTAAAAATCTTGTGACTTACTTCTTCTGTGATGTTTAAGACCTTTCCTTTCATGCTCAACGCTGGAGTCAAACATACAAATATTAGTGTACAGCTGAACAACCATTTTCGCTTACCCAAAACTAATGATTCAATACCTTATCTACCCAACACTGATTTGTCTCAAAAGCCGCATTACGACTTCTACTCGACAGCTTGGACCTTGAATCAAGCAAATAATGACAATCGAATTTGACATCAAGTTCTAGTGACATTATCCCCTCCAAATTTATTCAATTCTCACTAATGTGTACATTAAGAAAAGATTAATGTGCATACACATGCGATTTCAAAGATAAATAAATTACCAGGTTTGTCTTCCTACTCCGCTGCTCGAGCTATTACAGCCACCTCCTATAATAAACCCATTCTCAGCAGACCTCTTTGAACCACCTTCAGAGCCAGACCCATTGACCATTGAGATGAATCAAAATTGAGTACATTACTCTAGTTTACAGGAAAAGCTTTTTGTAACCCTGTATATTTAGTAGTAGTAGGAGAAGCAATATAATCTCCAAATGGGGCAGAAGTGTAGGAAACTACATGTTCACATAATAATAGAATCAGTGGGTGCCAAGCAAATAAATAAGTGGGCGGTAAAAGTTATTCATGAAAGATAAATCTATGTTCAAGATCTCAAATGCTCAAGCACTCTTGACAAATCAAACAATTTCGTCAAAAAGAGGAGAATTGTGTATCAAAGTTGAATTATCTACTGCAATGGATTCAAGGATATATACACAGAGAGTAACTATTTTTTTTTGTTTGAAACCATTTCAAAATGCTTGTGGACGCAAAAGAACTGAGATTCAGAAAACTTACCTCAATATTTACTATACATAATTATTTTGAAACTCTTGCGGACTTAAGCTTAATTACACTTTTAATATGATATTTGCAAATGATATCAAAGAAGGTGCACTCTGTCACTTCTCAATTAAACTCAAAGAAGATGCTTGTTTATAAATAAATCATGATTATGAGGAGAAAATTCAAGTTCAAATGTAGAAGACAGCCTTAAAACGGACAAAGCCCACATATATGTGAATATGGACTCATGATTATACCAATCAAAAGAAACTACTAAAAAAAAGCATCGGTATCAAAAGTGGAGCAATGGTAGACTAAAGAAGTGGTTCAAGTGAGTAAAACAGTTGAATCCTAAATAGTTAATAGTTGTGAAACACTTAGAAATGGAAGAAAAAAAAAGAACAACCATCACCTGTTTAGCAAGCTTGCTGTTTTTTTCTCCATTACCTCCTCATGTATTCTCCACAAAAATAAATAATGCTTAGGGATCTTCCTACACTCTTTTCACATCTATATGTATTTTATAAATAATAACCATTATAAATTAATTATAAACGTCAAACACATATTTATACATGCAGACTCAATACAGTATAGAGATGTGTGTGTATGAGCTTATAGGGTATATATAGTTTCTGGAGCGTATATGCTTTAAGAAAAGTACCAATCTGCGGTTCCAGATTCTGGAGCTCTCTTTAGACTAATTAATTCCAGATCTTGTGCACATAATGTCTGTACCTAATCCATATCATACTCTCTTTTGTTAATTCCCAATGCTGAGTAATAAAATTAGAATATTAGTATTGAGATGCTTATTCATAAAATGTATCAGTACCTTTCGTTTCTCTACCAAAGCTCAGTCTTAGGCTCAAGCAGGCTATGTTCCATTGACCAGTTCATCTGTCCCTGCAAAATTGATTTTCATAAAGTAAGCCAGTTTACACATTTTGTTAGTAAGTTAAAAACACATTCAAGATATTGAGCACAAATATATGCTTTACAGAGATTCGGAGATTATTAAACATACATTAACGTGGGAATCAGGAGATTATCGTTTTTTTCTCTCGGCGTAAGAGTACCTCCCCAGCATTGTAAAAACATGGTGAATAGTCTTTTTGAAGATAAGATTTGTCTCGCCAACTGCTCTAAGACTTTTATCTGCTCACACCATTTATCTATTGTATCATTAAGATCAAATATGCTTGTTGAAGTAAACTTTCAAGAGATAAGAATACATACACTCATGTAGCCACAACCAATTCTCTCTTGTTGATGCGAAGAGCATCTGTATATTAAATGGTTCTCAGTAGAATCAGAGTAAGAAGATTACAACCAGATTCACTGCTCAATTTAAAAAGATGACAGCTTTGCAAAACTTATCTAGATCTCTTTGATGGACCACACCTTTAGGTTCGAGCACATGTGATCCCATACGCAACGATCGAAGACGCATCAACAGCCTTAGGCCGAAACCTAACAATCGTCGAGACACTCTGGTTCAATTACTCCGCCAAAAAGTCAGATGACTACCTTTACTGCCACAACATCCTCTTCCTCTTCCTCATATTCTCCCTCATCCCTCTCCATCTCCCTCTCGTCTTCATCGAACTCTCCCGATACGTAAGAGAAATCAATTTACCATCAGGATAGAAAATTCTAGAAAAGAATTAAAGCTTAAACCTTTAGAAGTGGTTGTCTCGTTTGGAAATATTTGAGGCAACTGGGTAATGTCTTTATTTGATTGATACACAGACTAAGGGAGACGAAACAGAAGCCTTGCCGTAAGGCTTGAGGACAATCGCAGAGGAAGTAAATGAATTCACCTTTTCTTGAGCAGTCGTGGAGGATGATAGAATCTTCTTCTTGGTGGACTGAGGATTTCGTTTTGGGTTCCATCGGGAGAAACTGAAGAGAGTGGATTAGATTAGTGGAAGAAACTGAAGAGAAGCAAGCTGAGGAAGACGAAACGTGAGAGAGAGGATCTGGAGTTTCCAGATTTCTCCGGACATGTCTTTAAAAATCAAATTTTATTGCCGACAGAAGATAAATCTGGGTCTGAGATAACCGAAATCGAATCCGGTTTTGCTTGTCCAAACCAAGCATGACATGGATATTTGAAGCATTCTTATTGGCTAAATATTCTGTCGACGTGGCAGTGTAATATGGCTTGTTTTGCAACTTTTAATAGAGTTAGATAATTAGTTAGCTATAATTGTGGACTCAACAAAACTTTTATTGAACTAACAATAATTGGACAACCCATTAGATTTATAGATAGTATAATAAGACACATGTTTAAATTAAATATATATAATTTAGTTCTGTAATAGTATATTTTCATAAGTTAATTATTTATATTTTTCGATGTTAACTTTTAAAATTATATAGTTTATTTTTTAAAATAATAAAAATCATCATTTTCTAACAATTATTAATCTATACTATCTTAAACCAATGAAAACATTTTTTAAGTTTTATAGTTTATTTAAAAAACAAAAAAAAAGTGTTTAATTATTTACACCATAATATGAAGCTAAAAGTTTTTTTAACTTTCTAAATTTGAGAAATGTGAAAATATCTTTAAGGATGACAGTAAAAAAATATTTTACCAATCTTTACATATATTTACGACTTCAATAATGTAATAATAGTAATAATCCAAAACAATATATATAGAAGAAGATACAAATACATGTGAAGATTTGAAACAATCTACTCGATGAAAAACTAATATATGATAAAACTATTATCTTTTAAAATGGATATACACATCTCATATATAAAGTGAAAACAAATTGTTTAAATATAATTGAAAATAAAATGTTTCTATAAAAATAAATGAAAACAAACATGAAACATCCGCGCGGTTGCGCGGGTCGAGATCTAGTATTAGATTACATTGGGGATGATTGGTTGAACTGTAGCTGTAAAATTTTTACTGTAGAAATTAGTCTGTAGAATTTTTTGATTTAGCTGTAAAATATGTAGTTTTAAAATTTATTGTTACAGCAACATATTTTCTTTTTTTAGTTTTTGGCTGTAGCTTTAAAAAATAATATAAAGCATGATTGGTGATTTAAGTACTGGAAATAAAAATTAAAGCTAAAGTGACCACTTACAACCCAACCAATCACCCCCATTCACTTGTCTTCATAATAAAAAAAAAACAATTTTGACATCCTCTTCACGATAAGATTATGCAATGTGTTATAGTTTGTTATATGCGTTGGAATATCTATTAATGCGGCAACAAACTTTAAACCTTTAGTCAAAATAAACAAATTTTGAATCGATAAAGTAATATGTTACTAATATTTTGTACGAAAATCTTGATATAAAAAGAATAGAGGGAGAGAGAAAATGGTCACTGGCTTTAAATAAAAAACTGGTTAACCTGAAAATGATAACAAAAATTTTCATCTGATTTCAAATAATAATGCAAAATAAACGATGAATAAAGAAAACATTTTATCTTTTTAACAACAGTTTATCGAATTTAAGATTTAGGTATGTCTATTATCATATATCTCATTGTTGATATTATGTGTAAATACAACATAATAAAAATATTTAAATTTTTCTAAATTTATAAAACTACATAAATTATGTATCAAAGTGATGAAATAATATTAGAAAAACTGGCGCATAGCACCCGCAAACCCTAGTATTATATAAAGTAGAGTTTTTTCTCATGTAAGTTTTTCATGTCACTAATTAGTCTCTTAATGTGATGACATGTGTCAATTTGAAATTTTATTTTACTCTTTCAATAATATTATTGTTGATTTTTTTTTTTGTTATTAATAATTGTTTTGGGCTTATTTTGGGTCCAAAAAGAATCGTGTTAAGTATTTGATTAACAGATCCATAACAAATATTTTTTTTCAAAGTTTCTCTACGCCGTCAGAGTTTGCCACTGATGTTAACTAAATGACCATGGAGGATCTGGCTGGGTTGCGGGGGTTGGAAATCCGGTCAATCTCTGGTGGAAACGGATATTGGTCTCAGTTCGAGTAATTCCTTAATTGCTTTAGAAAACCTGGAACGTTACAGATCTCATATGCATTCAATCCTGCTCATTAACCTCCCAACTAACTCCATCTCTTCATTACTTCAACGTTTTCACATTCATTGTATCTTCTTTTTCTTCCGGTCTGTGAATCTGCATTTATAAATAGCTTAGATTATATTCTTAAATTCACAATTTCATTCCTCACAATGTAAATAACGCAAAACCCATTCACAAGATTAATTCCGATGTTGAGTGGTGAGGAACTGAGATCAACTGAGGAAACATCACCATCTCTGTAAGTCATGCCATGGAAGGTGCACGTTATATTCTTAGGAGACCCGTCTGGGGGGTGGGGTAGATTCTTTTAAGAAAAAGGTTTTTAAGGCTTATAAGACTAAGATGGTGAAGGTTAAAGTGAAAAAGAAAAGAAGGTAATAATTGTTACAGAGGGATTAAGACATATACCTCATTGATTTTTAGTGAGAGGTGGGTAAGTAGAAAGCTGAATTGGTGAATTTAAGATGTTAATTCTACCATTAAAATAGAGCTGGAAGTTCTAAGAGAGATACAAAAAATCGAGAGCTAGCGACATAAGCATGAAAATGAAGAAGTATTTATCAAATGGCCAAAGAAAGATAAAGTCAAAGCTGTGCATGACTTTTCATGTTATTATTCTTCTGGTTTTGTTGTATCATCGATAAAATTTAACTCCGATTACAAACAAAAAAAATGTTTTCACCAATGTTTAAGAAAATAGTAACAAATAAAAAATGTTAAGTATTGTATGTGTTACAAGTAAAAAATAATTAATGCAAGGATTTACAAAATTTAATAAAATAATGACATAAAAAAATTTTGAATCTATAAATTTTTCTAATTGAATGTTAGAATAACCGAGGTATTTTTCAAAACATGAAAAATTGTTTAATAAATGAGATTAGGGAATATGATCAGTTCTTTCACGAGCCCTTATTACGTTTATTAGTTCCACTTAGCTTGGCTCAAAGTAAAACAAAAATAAGTTTATTCTGATTTTTGATTTGGTGTTTAGTTTTAGTTTTTCGATATAAAATTATAAATACAAATTTGCACATAAAATAAATTTTATATTTTCTAAAAAGTATACTATGCACTTTATCTTTTGTGCAGTATTTCTTTTCACCCTGCTTGATTATATATATATATATATATCATATCATATCATATCATATTGGATTGTGTTCCCTAAGAACATATTTGCAAAATATGCATTTGCAAAACGTAGTTATCAGTTATCATATTTTTACTCCTTTTTTTGGTGATAGTCAAATGTATTTTGTCTTGATATTGACATAATTTGGACTGACTTTTATAAAAAAAAAATAGTTAGACTAACCAAGTAAATAAAGGTATGAAACTAAAACGCATAAATCATTAGTAAGAGTTCTACACACTACTTAAACAGTATCTCAACTTCCATAAGGCATTCAAGAATAACACCAACTTATTCAAACAAATCACAATTAACAAAATTAATAAATAACAACATAATCATTCTATTAGCAGTTGATACGACCAAATACTACAGCCTAAATTACAAACAACAACATTATGCAAATCATAAAAAAAAAAATTTGCATTTCATGCGTAGCGCGGACCCATCCTAGTTTATACTATTAAAAGGTTTTAGAAAAACTGGCGCATAGCGCCCGTAAACCCTAGTATTATATAAAATAGTGATTTTTCTCATGTAAGGTTGTCAAATGTGATGACATGTGTCAATTTGAAATTTTATTTTAATCTTTCAATAATATTATTGTTGAGTTTTTGATATTAATAATTGTTTTGGGCTTATTTTGGGTCCAAAGAGCATCATGTTAAGTATTTGATTAACGGATCCGTAACGAATATTTTTTTTTCAAAGTTTCTCGATGCCATCAGAGGTTGCCACTGATGTTAACTAAACGACCATGGAGGATCTGACTGGGTTGCGGGGGTTGGAAATCCGGTCAAACTCTGGTGGAAACGGATATTGGTCTCAGTTCGAGTAATTCCTTACTTGCTTTAGAAACCTTGGAACGTTACAGATCTCATATGCATTCAATCCTGCTCATTAACCTCCCAATTAACTCTATCTCTTCATTACTTCAACGTTTTCACATTAATTGCATCCTCCTTTTCTTCCAGTCTGTGAATCTGCATTTATAAATAGCTTAGATTATATTTTTAAATTCATAATTTCATTCCTCACAATGTAAATAACGAAAAATCCATTCACAAGTGATTCCGATGTTGAGTGGTGAGGAACTGAGATCAATTGAGGAAACATCGCCGTCTCTGTAAGTCATGCCATGGAAGGTGCACGTGTTATTCTTAGGAGACCAGTCTGGGGGGGGGGGGTAGATTCTTTTAAGAAAAAAAATTTAAGGCTTATAAGATGATACAGTTCTCCGACTAAGATGGTGAAGGTTAAAGTGAAAAAAAAGAAGGTAATAATTGTTACAGAGGGAGAAAGACATAGACCTCATTGATTTTTAGTGAGAGGTGGGTAAGTAGAAAGCTGAATTGGTGAATTTAAGATGTTAGTTCTACCATTAAAGAAGAGCTGAAAGTTCTAAGAGAGATACAAAAAATCGAGAGCTAGCGACATAAGCATGAAAATGAAAAAATATTTATCAAATGGCCAAAGAAAGATAAAGTCATAGCTGTGCATGACTTTTCATGTTATTATTCTTCTGGTTTTGTTGTATTATCTATAAAATTTTACTCCGGTTACAAACAAAAAAATGTTTTTCACCAATGTTTAAGAAAATAGTAACAAATAAAAAATGTTAAGTATTGTATCTGTTACAAGTAAAAAATAATTAATGCAAGGATATACAAAATTTAATAAAATAATGACATCATAAAATTTTGAAACTATAAATTTTTCTAGTTGAATGTTAGAATAACCAAGGTATTTTTCAAAACATAAAAAATTGTTTAATAAATGAGATTAGGGAA